TTCCGCACAGTCCTTAGGATCTGGCTATCCCGTCAGGCCTGGGGATAAGATTCTAATTTGCCCCACCCGAATGTTGAATGAAAGTTGTGTTTTATTGTTTTATTTTTATTTATGCACTGTCTTGTGTTTTTGGTTTGCACCCCCCTTCCCATGTATTGTAAGCCGCCCTGAGTCCCCTCAGGGAAAAGGGCGGCCTATAAATCATAATAAACTACAAACTACAAACTACGTGTGACACCTCCCCGCAACCTGTTTTTAGCCTAGCAGGCCTCCCTGCAGCCTCCTGGGACCAAAAACAGGCTGGGGGGGGGGGCGCACTCCCCCCCCCACGTATGTACGTGCATCTCCTGCATGTGCCCTGCCCCCTGTGAATGCGCGGCAAAGACGCGAAAATCAGCTGGTGGGCAGGAGGTGCGCGCACAGGCATGGTGGACTTAAGCTGCGGCGACAGCTCGCGTGCCATAGGTTTGCCGTCACAGGTATAGGATCTCCTGCCATGGACAGAGGGTTGGACTAGGAAAAACTCCAAAGTCCCTTCCAATCCTATTATAATATGATCTTCACTCAGGGTTATTTCTGTAGATCAAGGCATTTAGTTCATACTAGACAATCTACCATATTTTTCGGACTATAAGATGCACCGGAGTATAAGACGCACCATGATTTTGAGGAGATAATTTTTTTTTTAAGGTTTTGCACTCTGCAGGCCTCCCAAACCCTCTACACCGTCATTTTTTGCAAAACAAAAGGGCATGCAGAGCTTTGGGAGGCTTGTAGGGTGCTCCTAGTGGCTGGAGGGGGGAAATGGCTCGTTTTTTCTCAATTTTGCCCTCCCTAGCCCCCAGGAGCACTTTGCAAGCCTCCCAAACCCACTGCACGTCTGTTTGCAAAGGGGGCGGGATTTCGGGAGGCCAAAAATGCTGTATTCAGTGTATAAGATGCACCCAGATTTTCACCCTCTTTTTGAGGGGAAAAAGGTGTGTCTTGTACTCCGAAAAATACGGTATATCCCATTAGGTCCTAATTTGAGATATTTCCTTACCAGATTCTTCAGTTTCTTCAACGCAACTTCTCATATACTGCCTTCACACAAGTTGGGATACATATTGAGAGATGTATTTGCCTTGAAAATAATCCATTGAATTGCATAGCCTAGCTAAACATCAGCACAGGAAATGTTTTATGACGTAACACATTATGAAATGTATTCCATATTACATCATAATCACCTTTATGATAATGTTTGTCATAAACTATTTTTATAAAATTTGCCAAATTCCAATCCATGAGAGTTATAGGTTCCGGAATTTGGACATGTATTCTGTAAGCTAGCCCATTTGAAAATGATGCTCAGTGACATAACTTTTCACCCAGTTCGAAGTTAGAGGAATCACAATTTTAGTAGCATGTTATACATCTCTTTCTCATTCAGAAACATAAAATCTTTCTGGAGTTGACCTCTACTCAATGGTGACATCTTGGCAACAATAGTTTAGCCATTATCTTCTTCTGGTGTAAACATCTCATGACTTAATGTCGCAAAAGTGCTTTTTTCAAGAGGCAACTGGACTTTCTGACTGTGGTGAAGAAGCTTATTGGATGAAAAGCAAATTGTCTTCAAAGAAAAACCAGAAAGTCCAGCTGCCTCTTGAAAAAAGCACCTTTGCGATCTCTCGTGACTTGTTTACTTTTATTACGTGGCAAATATGAAGAAATATTTGCATTTAGTGATGTCCAGCATGGAGGATCATAACAAGCAGGATGGTACCAATTGTTCTGACCTGGGCTTCCCAAGATCATGAAGCAGACTCCTCGTCCTGATAAAACCTCTTTTATTTAGGTTAAAGGGAATTCCTCTCCAGCAAAGTCCCGGCCAGCAATCTTTCATGAGATTTCACAACTACAGACCTTTTATCAAGCTTGGAGAATTGCCAGGCCGATATTTTCCAAATGCCATGCAGCAATTACTTGGCAAGAAGTCAGGAAGAGATCTTTACCCTAATGAATCGAACTAATTGTCTCCTGCATGCTCCCCTCCTCTTTCACTCCTCTTTATTTCCTATGGGAGGGGCCATTCACCGTCCACCTGTGGTTTTACTCCCGAGTCGGCCCTTGTTCTTTAGCTGTTCCCTTCTCCTGACAGCTTTGCGCATGCGCACATTGGGACAGGCTCCAGCTATTCTTCTGCCCCACTGCTATCCAACTCAGAAGGCAGCTGATAACTGTCAGATGTCCCCATCTCTGCTTCTGATGCATAGACCTCATCAGAGCCTTCCCCAGACTCCAGGACTGGCCCGTCTTCCTCCCCAATCTCCTCCCTGTCTGAGTCTTCCACCAGCTCTGCTGGTGGGCCACAACACCAATGTGGTTTAAATCAGGGGTCCCCCATCCCGGTCCATGGACCAGGCGTTGGTCTGTGGCATGCTAGAAACCGGGATGTGCAAATAAGTGAAATCCATCTGCGGGATGCAGGCAGCATGCAAAACCACGCCCCTTCTGGTCCATGGAAAAAACCTCTCCATGGAAACGGTCCCTCCTGTCCAAAAGGTTGGGGGCCGCTGCTCTAAACCTTGCCCCTTTGCATATGTATATAGCTATGCATGTTATATGTTATACAACTATATATAGCTTGAACTATATTACAACAACTGCTATCTGGTTTTTTAATCCTCCCTGTAGATGTCCCATAATCTTGTGACGTCCCAATGCCCCTTTCATCCTTTTCCATAACTACAGTTAAAAGAACATACCTATAGTCCTCAGTGTTTACCAACTTCCCCATCAATCCTGCTTTGCTTTTTTAGATCAGCCAACATCATCTAAGCCAACTATGGCAACTTTAAGACTTGTGGACTTCAACTCCCAGAATTCTCTTGCCAGCATGGAAGTTGACTGAGGAATTCTGGGAGTTGAAGTCCACACGTCTTAAAATTGCCAAGTTTGGACATCCCCGATCTCAGTGTTTGCCCCTACTGTAATTTATCAGAAAACACAGTATTACAGATAGACAGACAAACAGACGGACAAGGCTTTCTGTTAGAAATTGAATTGTTCATGCAACATATTTGGAGTGGATGGGGACAACTGAGGAAACGATTGATGATAAGAAAACCAAAATCTTTTGTGGAGGCCAGGAATGGAAAGGACAAACTTATTCCATTAATGTTTTAAAAAAGAAATCGCAATAATAGAAGCCTTGGTGGGCATTAGCCGAATGGTGAGTAGCTCGCAAGGTTGTCCTTGGAGAGGGATTGTAGCCAGTGGTGGGATTCAGCCAGTTCGCACCTATTCAGGAGAACTGATTGTTAACTTTCTAAGCAGTTTGGAGAACCGGTTGTTGGAAGAAGTCTTACTTTGATTTTTCCCACTTTGCAGGGCTAATCCTATAAGGAAGGCAGGAAGGAAACATTCTGGTTTTGTTTCTAGCCTAATTTTTATTGCCCTGCTTACAGAAACTGCCTCTCCGGTTTAACCCTTGTTACATTGTAACAGCTAAGGCAAAAGCGCCCATGGATGTGAGTGACGTTGAGTTGGCCATGCCCACCCAGTCACATGACCACCAAGCCACGCCTACTCAGCTGGTCATTAGGGAAGAGAACTGGTGGTTAAATTATTTGAATCCCACCACTGATTGTAGCTCAGCTTCTCCTGGTTCGTCAATGTTGGATGCTTTTGTGCCTCAGATCAGGAAGCGTCAATCAAGTGGAAGCACGTCAGAAGATCGCTTTGCTGCTTCGGCCAGAGATTATGTGGAGTCATTACATCAGAACTCACGGACACATTTATTGTATGGGAAGAACAATGTGCTGGTCCAGCCGGTAAGTGCTTAGAGACAGAGTAGAGGTAGTCCTCACCTTACGACCACAATTGAGCCTGAAATTTCCGTTGTTAAGTGAGACAGTTCTTAAATGAATTTTGGCCCATTTTATGACTTCGTGCCAGAGTTGTTAAGTGAATCACTGCAGTGGTTTACGCTAGTAACAGGGCTGTTAAGTGAATCTGACTTCCCCATTGACTTTGCTTGTCAGAAGGTCGCAAAAGGGGATCACATGACCCCGGGACACTGCAACCGTCATAAATAGAAGTCAGTCGCCAAGCATCTGAATTTTGATCATGTGACCATGGAAGTGCTGAGACGGTTGTAAGTGTGAAAAATGGTCGTAATGGTCACTTTTTTCAGTGCCGTTGTAACTTCAAACAGTCACTAAACGAACTATTGTAAGTTGAGGACAACCTGTACAATAGATCTTATACAAGTAAGCCTTCATTTACAACCACAATTGGGATCAGAAAAATTGAGAATGTGGCTGTTAAGTGAGGTACTGTGACTGCACCCAATTTTACCTATTTTTTGGCTGTAGTCATTAAGCGAATCACTGCAGTCATTAAGCAATGTATCATATGAATGCAATTTGCAACTTCCCTGCCAGCTTCCCTATTGATAATTGCATGTCAGAAGCCATCTGGGGAGGTTGCAAATGACAATCATCTTATCCTAGGACAGTGTTTCTCAACCTTGGGGACTTTAAGTCCTGTGGACTTCAACTCCCAGAATCCCCCAGCCAGCAGCTGGCTGGGGAATTCTGGGAGTTGAAGTCCACAGGACATAAAGTCGCCAAGATTGAGAAACACTGTCCTAGGACATCGCAACTGTCATCAATTTGAGCATGTTAAGATTCACAACAACTGTGTTATTAACTGAACAACTGCAATGATTCACTT